TGAAATCTGACAATGAAGCAAACATTAGGGTCTCTGTAAATGAGCAATGTTGTGGGTGAGGTAGTTGTCAATTCCACTGAATGGGATATGGGACAGATCTATGATAAGCACACTGAATGCTGCCAAGTCTTCTCCGAGGAAGCCTTTTGAGAATCCACACATTTTTAAGTGTGTGGCTATGCAGTCAACTTGATTCTCCAAGGTAGTAATGTTCATTTCTAGTTCATTATGAGAGCATACTTTTTCCTTTAAATAATTTTTAATTAATATTTAACGTTTTAGCCACTATTTTCATTTTCTCTATTAATAAGTTTCTGTGGCATGTTTTCTTCATTGAAATTATCCACGAGATAAAGTGCAGGAGTCTCTGGCTTATACCATAAGATAACAATTTTGGTAAAACTGTAAAGAAATTAAATTCCCTTGAAACCAGGAGCATTCTCTTAAATTTCAACAGAGCATCTCTGTTAAGGCTCAAAGTAGTTGTAATTAGCAGTTTGGGATTTCCTGATTTTACAGTGTTTCACTTTCCAAGAAGAATGTAAAACACCACTTTCTCTTGATCAGTGTGGCCAGTTAGGACCAGAACTCACGAGCCACAATAGCTTGTTTGTAGCTCTTCCAAAGACTTAGATACCATGAGGTTATTTTATAAGCAACTATAAAAACAAGTTCATATTCTTGATTTATCACTCTGGACATCTAGAAACACTGTTTGGAATTACCGATAACTCCTATTACCTGTTACTTAAACAAACAGATGATCCGGCTGAAGTGGGAGGGTCTCCGGAGATTTAACTCCCCACCCCCCATCCTCGGAAGCCGGAAGCCGCCAGCCAGCGGTCACGGTCACGGTGTGCCAAGGTTGCTGTGATGAGCATTTCATTGGCATCCTGGGGCCCCTACACAGTGGGTCACGGGCTGCAAACAGGCTGAAAGAATAGTTTTCCCTGTTAAAAATGAAATCTAGGGAAACAAAGATTGGCTAATCAAACTGAACTCATTACATTTTCAAAGTGTTGAAAAAAATATTTACTTGAGTCAACCCAGCTTTTAAGGTTATTTTGTAGGGGCTCCTGGGTGGCTCAGTCAGTTAAGCATCTGACTTCAACTCAGGTCATGATCTCACAGTTGGTGGGTTTGAGCCCCGCATGGGGCTCTGTGCTGACAGCTCAGAGCCTGGAGCCTGCTTCAGATTCTGTGTCTCCCTCTCTCTCTGCCCATCCTCTGCTCATCCTCTGTCTCTTTCTCAAAGATAAAATAAAAACATTAAAAATATATATATTTTGTAATCTTAAAGGCTAATATTTTTAAATATTAACTATTACAAACTTCATGTTTTCTAAAATATAAGAATATAGACATTTTTAAATTTTAAATATTAAAAATTTTAAATACACAAAAATAAATGTGACCATCTTTGCCAATTCAGATTCTAGCATAACGCTAAAAAATGAACTCGAATCTAGTTTGTGCACATAATGCCACTACTGTACTAAGTAGTACATTAAAGACTTTTGTGATTAAATATGTTTTAGAGTCAGAAAACTTTGGATTTTAACCATACCTTTCTGATACATATAAAAAGACAGTAGGGAGGCACCTGGGTGGCTTAGTAGGTTGAGTGTCTGACTTCAGCTCAGGTCATGATCTCATGGTTCATAGGTTCAAGCCCCACATCAGACTCTGTGCTGACAACTCAGAGCCTTTAGTCTCCTTTGGATTCTGAGTCTCCCTCTCTCTCTGCTGTCCCCCACTCACGCTGTCTCTCTCTGTCTCTCAAAATTAAACATTAAAATTTTTAAAAAATCAGTAGGATGAGGCTAATCTCTGTAACCAATCAACAAAGATATTTTCTAAGTGCATGTAAAATAAATTATTTTAAGCTAAACATTGAATAATATGCCTGTAATAAACAGGTACATGTTGTATATGACTTACTGTTAGGTAGAAAATAAAAGCCTAGGTCTTCTTTTTTTAATTTTTTTTAATGTTTTATTTATTTATGACAGAGAGAGAGAGTGAGCAGGGGAGGGTCAGAGAGAGAGGGAGACACAGAATCCGAAACAGGCTCCAGGTTCTGAGCTAGCTGTCAGCACGAAGCCTGACACAGGACTCAAACCCACGAACTGTGAGATCATGACCTGAGCTGAAGTTGGACACTTAACTGACTGAGGCACCCAGGTGCCCCGAGCCTAGGTCTTCTTTAGAGATAGATGGAGGATGGATCCATCTGGGACTGAGCCACCCAGATGCCCCAAAGAGATCATTCTTAGTGGGAAACTGATATTCCACAAACTATATGCAGGCAACTATTTTTCCAGCTGCACCATCAAACATTTTCAGCTGATTTAGGACACCACGTCCAGTTGTTTGTTGTATGCTGAAATGGGGAAAACACATCTCCTGTGAGGCTGCTGTAGCCAAGCCGTGTTGGGCTGGGTAAACGCGGTCTCAAGTGGACGGCTGTTACTATTACTACCTGTTGTTTGATGTCTGCACACGGCTCCAGCGCTTTTGCACACGTGGCCGTGGCCCCCGGCAGAACTGTGAAGCCATTCATGCCCTTGGCCTTCACTTGGAGTTCCCCGATACAGCCATGGGGGCTCCCCTCGTGACCTTTCAGATACTCAGTGCCCCCTTGCTGTGTGAACAGTCCCAACTGTTTTAAATATTACACTTCATTTGTGGATCTGAACTTGGCTCAGCAACTTTAGGTCTTGTGTTTCTACTGTCATGTAACACAGTGTGTGGTATATACCAGGTTTCTGGTGTTTCTCTGTATATATCAGATATATATATGGTATATATCTGGTATATATCAGTAAATGTTTGCTGACAGAAAGTTTCTGTTCCTTTACAGAATAATTATAGGCCTCAGGAAGTAACTGTGGAGGCTCTGACTAGAGCATCACAGAAGCCCCATGATCCTGAAATCACACTCTTTGGGCTAAAGTACCAAATAAAGTAATGGAGTACTTTGAGGGCAGTGGCTGTGCAATGTGGTATCAAGAGGTCAAAAGGGATGGTCCCAGGCCCCCTCCCATAGGCCCAGGGTTCCCTCTAGCGGACCAGTGGGCTGGGGCACCAGCAGAACTGAATGAGAACAGATAGCGATTTAAGAATGAATAAACAATCCAGGGCAAAGTAGCAATTGGTTGTGGGTCAAATTTCAGGCACAGTGTTCCAGACCAGGAGGTGAGAGCCAGCTAGGGTCACAGAGGGTTCCAGTTGATTCTGGTCAGAATAAGGAAACAAGTGAACAAAAAACTAATAATCCAGTGAAGAAATGTGCAGAAGATATGAACAGACACTTCTCCAAAGAGGACATCCAGATGGCCAACAGACACAGGAAACGATGCCCAGCATCCCTCATCGTCCGGGAAATACAAATCAAAACCACACTGAGATTCCACCTCACGCCAGTCAGAATGGCTAAAATGAGCAAATCAGAGAACTCTAGATGCTGGCGAGGACGTGGAGAAATGGGTGCCCTCCCACACTGTTGGTGGGAATGTAAACTGGTGCAGCCCCTCTGGAAAACAGTGGGGAGGTTCCTCAAAAAATTGACAACAGAACTCCCCTATGACCCAGCAATAGCACTGCTAGGAATTTACACAAGGGATACAGGAGTGCTGATGAACAGGGGCACGTGTACCCCAATGTTCATAGCAGCACTCTCAACAATAGCTAAAACATGGAAAGAGCCCAAGTGTCCATCAACGGACGAATGGATCAAGAAGATGTGGTTTATCTATACTATAGAATACTACATGGCAGTGAGAAAGAATGAAATCTGGCCATTTGTAGCAACATGGATGGAACTTGAGGGTGTTATGCTGAGTGAAATAAGACAGGCAGAGAAGGACAGATACCATATGTTTGCACATATAGGTGGATTAGGAGGAACTTAATGGAGAACCATGAGGAAGAAGAAGGGGAAAAATAGTTGGGGAAAGGGAGGGAGGCAAACCATGAGAGACTCTTGAATGCCGAGAACAAATTGAGGGCTGATGGGGGAGGGGGAGAGGGGAAGGAGGGTGATGGGCATGGAGGAGGGCACTTGTGGGGATGAGCACTGGGTATTATATGGAAACCAACTTGACAATAAACTATTTAAGGAAAAAAAGAAAAAAAAAAGAAGGCGAGTGAAGGCTTGCCTAGAGACACCTGTTGACACCAAGACCACATCTGCTCTTCCTTCCACAGATGGGAAGATGCTTCCTTTCTTGCTGCTCAGTCTGGCGCTGTTGAAGGGCATGGCCGGAGAAAGTGGCCTGGATCTCTGTGGTCGATTGGCTTGTGTCCCCCCAAAAAAGTGTTGGAGACCTTATGCCTGGTCCCTTGGAATGTGACCTTATTCGGAAAGAAGGGTTGTGGGGATATAATTAGTTAAGATGAGGTCATACTGGAGTGAGTTGGGCCCTTCATCCAACAGGATTCGTGTCCTTAACAGCACAAGAGAAAATTAGACACACAAAGAGGGAGACTCCACGTGACAACAGAGGTGGGCCCGCGGTGGAACATCAGAGATTGCCCAGAAGGTGGGAAGAGACGAGTAGGGACTGTCCCCTGCGGGCTCCCCTTCCAGCACCTTGGTTCTGGAGTTGCAACCTGCCGAACTGAGGGAGAATCGGTTTCCATTGTTCTAATCCAATCGCTGTGTTACAGCAGCCGCAGGAAAAGGGACACATCCCCAAAGACACCTGGGGGCCCTGGCAGCTGTGTCGTTGGGGGATATGGGGGCCCACACTGTCCGTGCAGATGTGAGTCTCTCCAGAATTACAGTGGTAACTACACACTTTGGACATGGAGAGCCTGCTCTACCAACTATTTGTCCTCTGGGGCCTGTAGCCATTTTGGATGGGACTATTCCGGGGTGGCTAGAGGCCAAGGAGGTCTGCCTGCACGCGTGCTTCCCCCCGTCCTGCACCAGCCCTGAAGCCTCTCCCGGCGTCCTGCCTCGGGGCCCAGGAGCACCCTTTACCTTTCCCGAGAGTCACAGGTGGAGTTTGTATGTAAACCTCTCCTCCTTCCTGATGTTCTGGAATATAGCCTTAGCACACATGTCACATCTCCCTCTGCTAACAAAGACGCTGGCAAGTAGGCCACCAAGAATCCATCCTCTTCATCACTATCGAATGTCTGAAAGCAAAACAGCCTACTTCAGGGAACATATGCATAGGGATCTGTTCTTTTAAAGAAGGGGACATTTAGAAGAATGTACTTAAATGTAATTGCATTCATGCTTCCAGTCAGGGAATGACCAAGTCAGAGGAATAAAAGGCACAGCATAGGGAACACAGTCAGTGGTGTTTTAGTAGCGTTGCACAGTGACAGCTGGCAGCTACACTTGGGGGAAGCACGGTGTAATGTAGAGGCTTGTTGAATCACGGTGTTGTACACCTGACACTAAGGTGTCAACTCTACCCAAATAAAAACCAGTAAATAGACTTAATGCATTCAATGGACTATACGTTCGTTTTGAGAAGTTGCAAATGGATAGCCCTAAGGGTGCAATATGGGACAGCATGACAATTACGACACATCATTCTCAGGTACTGAAGGGATGTGTCGGGGCTCAATCGGTTGAGCGTCCAACTATTGGTTTTGGCTCAGGTCCTAATCTCCTGGTTTGTGAGTTCGAGACCCACATAGGGCTCCATGCTGACAGTGGGGAGCCTGCTTGGGATTCTCTCTCTCCCCCTCTCTCTGCCCCTCTCCTGCTCACTCTCTCTGTCTCTCTCTTTCATAAATAAATAAATAAATAAACTTTAAAAAAAATTAAACAGTTACTAAAATTTAAGGGCACCGGGTGGCTCATCGGTTGAGCATCCAACTTTGGCTCAGGTCATGATCTCACGTTTTTGTGAGTTCAAGCCCCACATCAGGCTCCCTGCTGTCAGTATGGAGCCTGGAGCCTGCTTCGAAGACTATGTCCTCTTCCCTGCCTCTCCCCCACTCTCTCTCTCTCTCTCAAAAATAAATAAAACATTAAAAAAACTAAATTAAGCTCTTAAAATGTGTTTTTGGGTTTCAACAGTATCTGAGTGACCTAGTTTACCATCCGTGGTTGCATTTTTGTAAGGCTTGCATAATCATTGCTTAAATTAACCATCGGATTAAGAAAGGCCAGTAGGAGGCCAAATCCAAATTGAGACATGAAGAGGGAAAATGAAGAAGTAAAAGCAATTGAAAGGTCAGGGGTGAAAATAATGTATAGGAAGGATGAGAACGGCAATTTCTTGCTAAGGAGAGCTGTAATACTAAACAGGATGATCCTTTTATTGATTGCAAATCTGTGTGAAAATTACTCCAAAAGGAAAAGAGTTTGGGGCATGTATCTCACCATCTGGGTGGTAAATGGTGGAGCCGGGATTTGAACCACATCTGACTGGAGAAGCCACGGTTCTTGTCTCTTGTGGATGCTAGAGCCTCCTCTGCCCAGGTTTAGGTGTAATTCTTATTATTTTCCTTTTGGATTCTTTTGAGAACAGAGTAACTCCTGGAGGGCCTTCTGGACACCACAGTAATGTCAATATTTGGCCTCCCTGAAAACCATTTGCGATCAGTGCAAACCATGAGTATTGTTGCTGGTAGATGTCTGATATCACTCTCAAGGCCTTGACCCTGAGGCTGACCGGGATCTCCTTGATCTCCCCAGGAGCCGAGGTGACCTACATGAACATGACTGCCTACAACAAGGGCCGGCTACAGTCCTCCTTCTGGATCGTGGACAAGCAGCATGTTTACATCGGCAGTGCGGGCTTGGACTGGCAGTCGCTGGGGCAGGTAATCTTACCACGTTACATAGACTCTGAGTTCCCTGGGCATCAGAGGTGCCAGCTCCTTAAAGCACTTGGGCACCTGTACTGTGGTTGTGGGAAGTAAAACCTACAGCACTCATTATTTTTAACTGTGTAGTTTTAACAGTCTCACCTCTATTTAATGTAAAATGAGAAACTTTTCTGTGACAGCATCGTCTGCCCCCAGATGCTGCCATTGCATCTGTGCTTTTGTAATTCACATGCTACCCCAGATTCTGGAGAGTAGGATGGCGTGTAATTTATGGTACCCGAACCTAAGTGTTCAGCATGGGATCACAGAATCTGTGAGATAGAAAAAAGCATAACTTCAGCAGAGGGTAGTATGTTTGAAAGAGTAATCCTTTGTGTTGTCCCTTTAATAAATATTAATACGAGGATGTCATCTTCCTCTTTGTGAATAATTTGTTTAAATATCTTAAAGATGCACTTGAGAAATCTGTAATGTTCAGGTATTTATTTGTGCCAGGGCTATCCACAGAGGATTGCAAATCACCTTCTTCCCACCAGTCAGCTGGTGGTGGGAAGTTCTCCATCCTTGGGTGCATAGGAAGACTCGCTGATCAACGGTGCATGCTAAGCAGCTCATCCATGCTTTTAGCTAAGCTCTTTTAACATCCAGATCACTGAAATTACCAAGCGAATTGTACTACGTTTCTTACAGGAAAGAAAGCAGGGATGTGCAGATCGACACAGGGCCTTGGCTTGTAAAAAAAAAAAAAAAAAAGACATCACCACATAGGATAAATCTGAGAGAGGGTAACTTGACATTTGTACTGTTGGCTTCAGGGATTGAATCATTTGCCCCCCAGTTTCCACTGTTGTTCTCTTGTCCTTCTTATTTTTTTAAAATTTTTTATATTTATTTATTTATTTATTTATTTATTTATTTATTTATTTATTTTTTGAGAGAGACTGAGCATGAGCAGGGGAAGGACAGAGACAGAAGGAGACACAGAATCCGAAGCAGGCTACACACTCTGAGCTGTCAGCACAGAGCCTGACACGGGGCTCAAACTCATGAACCGTGAGATCATGACCTGAGCCGAAGTCGGATGCTTAACTGACTGAGCCCCCCAGGCGACCCAAACCACTGCTGTTTCTAATAAGACAGTCTCCCCCTCAGCCAGAAGGGAACAACTGGAAGAAAATTTCCTGATCAGTTTTGGGAGACAGACACCATCCAAGATTGATGAAATATCATTTATTTTATATTTGCTCAGGAAATGTGAAGGTGCTACCTACTGAAATAAAAACGATTCTGAGCAAAATAATAGCATCCATGAACAATCATGACAGTCGTACGTAGCGTCCATTGCATGCCAGGTGCCATTCTGAGCCATTTCAATGGATAATTTACTTTAAACCTCGCAGTGATCCTATGATGGAAACAGTATTATTGTCTCCATTTTAAAGATAAGTAGACGGGAGCCCAGATTTGAATTTCAGTATTATATCTTTTAAGCCAATCCCTTTCAGTATTAATGTCGATATGAAAACTATAAATTTTTATTTAACGTATCTCATGTCTAATAGCCCTTCAAACACCGAGATAAAAAATACGGATTACAGCAATTTTGGCTTACCTCAGAAACCAGAAGTAAGGCCAGTATCAAAGCCTCATGAATTCAGACTATTTAGATAAAAATAGTCTAATTTATAGAAACATCTGAGTTCACCTTTTGTTAATCGATAAGCATCCTTTGCCCAGAAATTTTCAGCTTGGTCTCCTATAATAAATAGTTAAAATCAGTTCTGTCACAATATTGATTACATGTAAATTCTGCTTCTAGGTGATCTTTAACTTAAAAATCATTTTGCCTTTTTTTTTAAATGGACTTCCCCACCACGAAATTGTGTTTCCTTCATCACTAAATGATGTTAGTTGAAAAGGTTTAAAGTTCTGTGAATTCCATTTGAGTGGGGTGTGAAATTATTAAGGTTTAATGACATTTTTCTCCAAATTTTTGAACAAGATATCAGTGTTTCCTTTTACTTCTTTCCTTAGTCAGATGGACACAAAATAGTCAAATGTGGGTTTCGCTGCTTGAGGCTTACTCCTTGATCTCTGATTTTTGCTGTGTGTTTTGTAGGCAAGTAGGCTGATCTTTTAAATGTGCATCCCTTGCTGTGTACTCATTTGGAAAATTGATCCTTACTGTGAAATGGGAAGTTTTCGCCATCAAACATGGTAAATGCAGATGAAGGAGGGGCAGAATGTTATTTCCTATTAGTCAACTGAAGACTCGAAACCATCTCAGGATCTCTGCCTGCTTACACGTTGTGAAGTGGTAGCTAGTTTCCTTTCACCTACAGAGAAGACCAGACTTGACCATGAGTCAGCAGACAGAATGGGACAATGCCAGGGCCCAGCTCTCTGTTTCACAACTAGTCAAGTGCCTTTGCTAAGGAACAGTCAACTCTGCCATTCGCTTAAATGTCCTTCTCAGTAGGAACTGAAAAAGTCCAACCTTTCCTTTATGCCTTTGTGTGAGCTGGGCCTCCCGATCTGTAGCCTCTGACCATATCCCGTACCATGGATGGTTTGTTCTCAGCTCATCAGCCAGGGAATGAGAGGGAGCATAAACAGAGTGGACTCCCCAGATTTCTGTCCTTCAAAGGGACCAGCTCAAACATACCAGCAGAGTTTACTTTTAAAAACCTAAATGGATATCATGATGCATCTTAAGTATGGAGTAAGTGAAATAATGGGTTAAAAAATCAACTTATTTTCTGATTCATCATCAGTTCACAGAGAGGAAGCCCATGAAAAAGTCCTCAGCCCTCTGTTAAATGACAAAAATTCAACTGAGCAAATTCAAGGATTAAACTGGCTTTATTCAACAGTTCATGAAATAGCCAGCATCTACCTAGCAATAGACAGGAGCTCTGTGTGCTGTAGAAAAGGAAAGGTTTTTAAAGGTAGAAAGGGAAGGGGGAAAAGGTAATTATTAGTAAAGAGTGAATTGTTTCAGGCCAGGTCACCTTCCTAAGGGAAACAGGAGAGATCTCTCCGGTGGACTCTCTCACTAGTGGGGACCAGGTAATTCCATATTGACTGGTTAAATGTTACATTCCAGGGTGGTTGAAACTGCAGTTAGATTAGATATTAAGTCTTGGCTTGCTGACATGGGATTTAACATAAGTGACTCCATTTGGGGCCTGCTGCCTCCTTTTTAACAATTCCAAACATCCCCATGAAGAGAGGGCAGGTTAAGGGTCATACTTGCCAGCTGTCCATGGACACAGTCCTCGGAGAGCACCCTTGGGTAGGCTGGAGAAAAGGCTGGAATGAAACCTTGATACATTGATGGCACATGTTTAAGCCATCAGTGATTTCAGGGCACATGGACTGCTTTTGCGGAAATCTGCATTCTTATGCTGGTCATAAATTTAATAACAAGTTAAACTCCACGGAGGTCATGGAATTGGGAGGAGGTGAGTGGAAGAAATCTTTTGTTATTTTTTCCAAAAGGCTACTATGTATGTGGTAGGTTCTGTGCTAATAGCTTCAGACCTGCTTCCTCAGTTGTCATAGCAACTTAAGAGTGGATATTATCGCCGTCTTCCAAATGAAGATAATATTGGAAAATAAAAACAGAATAGATGTTATTTTGTGGCTCATTTCTCCTGTAAAATAGCAAAACACTCTCTAACCTGTCGGGCATTTGGAGATGGCTCTCCTGTTCTTCAGACTGATGGTAAAGTTGGCAGAGCCCTCATCTTTCATTTCACTCCTAGCAATTTGGGACTCGGGTGGGAATCAGTGCAAAGTTGTCATTTTTTACTAAACCAAACTTTTTTTTTGAATTATTTTTAACCTTTATTTATTTTTGAGAGACAGAGAGAGACAGAGCATGAGTGGGGGAGGAGCAGAGAGAGAGGGAGACACAGAATCTGAAACAGGCTCTAGGCTCTGAGCTGCAGCACAGAGCCCGACGCGGGACTCGAACCCACAAACTGCCAGATCATGACCTGAGCCGAAGTCAGACGCTCAACCGACTGAGCCACCCAGGCGCCCTGAAACCAAACTCTTAAAAACAAAAACAGGGGCGCCTGGGTGGCTTAGTCGGTTGAGCGTCCGACTTTCGCTTAGGTCATGATCTCGCGGTTCGTGGGTTCGAGCCCCGCGTCGGGCTCTGTGCTGACTGCCAGCTCAGAGCCTGGAGCCTGTTTCAGAGTCTGTGACTCCCTCTCTCTCTGACCTTCCCCTGCTCACGCTGTCTCTCTCTCTCTCCTAGAAATAAATAAAAATATTTAAAAAAAAACAAAAAACAAAAACAAATCTCATTTCTCCTCTAACAATCTTTCTCATTTTCCTCTTGGAAGAGACTATATTCTTGGATGGGGGTGGGGAGGGGCGGGGTTTAGAGCTCTTCTGGAAGAGAGTTAGCATCCCATCAGCTCCCCTGCATGTATGTCAGCTGCTGAGGGAGTTCCCACCTCCTTTCCCCTGCCTCTCCACACTTACACACAAGCACTGTCTCCTACCTTGTTCACCCCTTCCCACAGGGCTCAGTATTTGGGATCCCATCATTACCCTGAATCATCTACCTTAGGTTAGGTTCCCTTTCAACTGCGTTTGACTGCGTGGGATTTTTCTTGGTCTGCCTCGGTGTGGCATAAAACACTGCTCAGCAAGACCCATACACTAGAGCAGATTTTCCTTTGAGTAGAGTTGTGTGTGAGGCTAACAATTACCTGAAGAATTAGAACACATTTCCAAGTGTCACATTCAGCCTCCTTCATCAGCTTTATTTTGTGAGGCTTTCTAGTGCAATCAGATTACTTTTACCAATTATTACCTTCAGCGTATGGTAAGTAGGAGAAATAATAATACTAATAATAAAAGCTTTGCTGCATTGAGGGCTTTCTCTGTAGTAGGCCTTCTTTAAGCATTGAAGGAGGATGAACTTATTTAATTTTCATGATCACCCTTTATTGTAAATAATACTATCATGGCTTTATGTACAAAGGCAGAAACTGAGGCACAAATAAATGACTTACCCAGGGTCACCTTCCAGAGACAGTAAAGCTAGAATGTGTATCCAGGCAATGTTTCTCCAAACTCCTCACTCTTATTTCACTGCTAATAATTTAAATTTTTAAATTTTTTTTTATTTCTGAGAGATAGAGCACAAGCAAGGGAGGGGCAGAGAGGGAAGCTCAGAACAAAAGCAGCCTCCAGGCTCTGAGCTGTCAGCACAGAGCCCGACATGGGGCTTGAATCATGAACCATGAGATTGTGACCTGAGTCAAAGTCAGATGCTTAACCCACTGTGCCATCCAGGTACCCCTCACTGCTAATAATTTTAAAAAATAAATTGCATGGGGCACCTGAGTGGCTCAGTTGGTTTAGCGTCCGACTTCCGCTCAGGTCATGATCTCACAGTTCGTGGGTGGGTTCAAGCCCCGCGTCAGGCTCTGTGCTGACAGCTCAGAGCCTGGAGCCTGCTTAGGATTCTGTGTCTCCCTCTCTCTGACCCTCCCCTGCTCACGCTGTCTTTATCTCTCTCTCAAAAATAAATAAAACATTTTTAAAAATTTTTAAATAGTTTTTTAAATTAGAAAAAATCAATTGCATTTATGAAAAATCATTCTCTTCCCTGATCTTGCTGTGTTGCTAAGCTATAGATTTCTTCTCACTTGCTCTTTTAAGAAAAGGTAACAATACTGTTCATCAAGAAACCCTTTACTCTTTCACTTCTTTCTGATTGCACACCCACGATGATAAGATGGCCACACATTGACATCTGTCCTTGCCTGGTACTGAGTTCTGCTGACTGTCTTAGCCTCTGGGTTGAATTTCAAAGACTAGGGGGTCAATACTTGTGCTTCTATAGTCCTCTCTCTGTGGTTCAGGTTGCTACCCTGGAATCCACGGCCACAAAGGAATCCTGTGGGAGGAAAGAGAACGGCGCCACAGGCTTTCCCACAAAGTGGTCTGGGTTTGTGAGTCTTGGGCGCGCCTGAAAACCCCATGGAGGAAACAAAAAAAATACAGCACTCACAAAGCAAACAAAAGACTAAATGGCGTGTGAGGCAGAAAGAAAAGGGCACAGCAATCTTTAAACCACAGGGCTCCGGAGGTGTGATGCTGAAGTACAAGAAGCTGGAAGGAAAACACGAAAATCACGTTTTTAAGAAAAAGTTACTTTTGTAACTTTTGAACATACCCTCTTGAATGAATACCAGCCCGGAGTTCAAAGCAGATTTCCATAGGTTCATGGGTCACAAGAATCTGGCAACTCTGAGAAGAGGAGATATTTAAATAATATTTTATTTTTTATTGTTCTTAAAGTTTGTTTTTATTTTGAGAGAGAGAGAGTGAGCAGGGGAGGGGCAGAGAGAGAGAGTGAGACAGAATGCCAAGCAGGCTCTGAGCTGTCAGAGCAGAGCCAGATGCAGGGCTCAAACTCATGAACCAAGAGATCAGGACCTGAGGTTAAGTCAAGAGTCCGGTGCTTACAGACTGAGCCACTCTGGCGCCCCTAAATAATATTTTTAAATGCATTTCGAGCAAACGGGAATAGATCTAGCTTAAACTCTGTTAATATGTATTTTTTAACCTTAATCCACCTTTTTTCTGAAAAGACCTAAAAAAGAGTACATTGAAACAGGCCAGCTCTTGTGGGGCACAGTAGCCTGTGGCCTTGCTGGGATGACACCATCTGTGACCCACACCGGGGTGGTGTCTCGGGTGGGAGACGGGACCAGCCGGCCCAGGCTCTACCTGGCTTCTAGAATCACTGAGGCCGTTCATCTTAGAACTGGAAATTAGCTCGGAGAATAATCAGCCTAGTGTTTCCCAAGGTGTGTCTTCATAAATGGTATTCACTGAGAAGGGGATTTTATACTCCCGGAGAGTGAGAACCTATGGGTTTCATTTAAATAAGTTTCTTTACTGTGGGACTCCTCAGAGCCATTAATATGCTAATGTGCCCTGAGAATCTCTAAGAGGGTGGGAAAGGATGAACATTCCTTAAATCCTTTTGGCTGTGAGCTGCTTTCCACAGTTAATCTTATGGATCACATATTCCTTGAAGCCTCTGTATTTCCACAAATGCTGTTCTAAACCAGCATAATCATTTGAAAAAAATAAATTGCATGAGACGCAATTTAAAGATAACACTGAGTGTCCTATCCAGGCTTATGGATGAGAACGCTGAGATGAAGGGCTGGAGGGTTGGAGTGGGTACATGTTAGTCACTTACCTGTGACCCCCTTATCCCTGATGTCAGGCTTCAGGACTTTAGGACTCTCCCGCCTTTTCACTTCTCAGGCTACCTTATGAAAAATATGTGATTCCAAATCTGGTAATTGTAGGGTTCTGTCTCCTTAGTAACAGAACAACTGAACAATGAGCAGACCAGGGATTACATGTGGTAAAGGTAATCAACGTGGCTATTGCCCCTTTATTCAGAGAACTGCACTAATCATGGCAGAGGGTTTGAAGAAAAATGACATAAACCTGCAAAAAGTGGATTTAAAATCCAGTTTGAAAAATAAAACATTTGAGCACTCTTCAGGAGAAGCTGACCACCCAGGATATTTGCCAAGCAGGATGAACAGCATAATTTGTGGGACCTGGTACTAGATGCAAATGTGGGACCTCTTGTTAAAAAATTATCAAGAACTTCAAGATGGTGACAGCAGAGCTGTTACCCCGAGCTCGGGGTCAAGGTTAGGGCCCTCAGTGTTCCATGGCCCGATGCCATGAACTCTGGTGCTGAATGAGTAGGATTGGCGATGAGTACTTTGGGGACTTGGGAAGAGCAAAATCCCCACAGACTAATCAGTAAAGCCCACAGTGAGATGTTGGATGTTGAGCTGAGCCTTAAGGGATTTGTGAGCTGAGGAAAGAAAGGGATTCTGAACAAAGACACAGAGCTGGGAACGAGTATGGTGTTAGAAGACCCGTGAGCAATTTCTTGCCAGCCCAGAATGTTCTCGTTGCAGAGCCTTGGACCTAATCCTGGCAAGAATGGAACAGATCTTGACAAATGGCGCATGGGGGAGGGGTCCCAGGAGGGGGGGAAACAGAGAACCTATGGCCAAGATTAAAGAGAGAAGTGACAGGATTTGGTAATGATGGTGGGAATGCAAATCGTGTCCCCTTGATGCCCACTTGTGTTGTCAAACAGTCTAGATGTTGCTGCGAAGGTGGTGTTGAGGTGTGATTTGCATTGAAATCAGTAGACTTGAGTAAAGCAGATTACTCTTCATACTGAGGGTGGGCCTCAGCCAACCAATTGCAACTCTCAAAGGCAAAGGCTGAAGTTTCTGGAAGAAATTTGGTCCCAAGACTGCAAAATAGACACCTAGCCTGAGTTCCCAGCCTGCCAGCTTGCCCTGTGGATTTCAATCACAAGCCAAGCCGATTCCTTAAAATCTCTCTGTATATATCTATATTTATACCTATATCTATATCTATGTCTATATCTATATCCATATCCATATCCATATCTATATCCATATCTGTATCTATATCCATATCTGTGTCTATATCCATATCCATATCTATATCTATAACTATATCTACCTATCTACTATATACATAGAGATAGAGATATAAAATCTCCTGTTGGTTATGTATATATCCTGTTCATTCTGTCTGGAGCACTCTGACTGGTACACCAACGACTGTGAGAGAGAGAAGGAAATGTGATGGAGAAAACTGGCAAAGCCTGCATCATAATGACTGATGGGCCAGAAGGAATGAGCCAGAAGGAACAGTGGGCATATTTCCAGCACCTGGGGCTGGGCTCACTGGAAAATATCAAACTGTCAATAGAATTGGGGAATGTCAGGAGAAAGGGGCAGTTTTCATGTCCGGTGGGCATTTGGAAAAACAGAAAAGAGATTGGCTGATAGCTGTTGCTTTTCATCTAGTATCTTGAGCATGTGAATAGTGATGGCCCCTCACTGCCCCAAAACTACTGATTTCATTGGTAGCTGCCAGTTCCTGATGGTGACTGTTTGGTAGCATGTTGGCCAGAGTCACACTCCCCTCTGCTCACCAGGCCAGCTCACTCTTTGCAAGTCTCATAAGGTTGAGGTTGTGGCCTGACATTAGCAATGAGAAAGAGCACTAAGGCTTAAAGGACCTTTGGCCCAGGTTCTGTCCCTATTTCTTTCAGCTAAAAGGACAGAGGGCAGAGGCAGAGCTTGAAGACCCGGGGGTGCATCAGGGGGCAAGAGGAAGCCGCTGTTCCGTGGCACATCTTTTCGTCCCCATTCAGTGCTGGCGCTGCACCTACCTTTTCCCCAGAATTGACGAGTTTCTATGGACAAGGGCTTAGCTCCTAGAGGCGCACTGGTAAGGCCGGTAACTAGATGTCAGAAGCAAAATTAAAATGAACCAAAGTAAAACGCAACTCAACCAGAAAAGCAACAGAAAATAATTAATATTCCTTGAGCAACATGCAATGAAGGCAAACAAAGGATTAATTCCCGCAGTGTTGATTTGGAAGATTATCTGGGCAGCTCAGAAAGGTCAGGTTTGGGTGCAGATGCATTCTAAAGTAAATGTTGACGGGGGAGGGTATGCCCAGGTTCTTAGGGAGGAAACAGATTAGCAGGCTGCAACTTTATTAACAAAGTCATGCTTATTTTCTACAATTTTTAAAAGACCAGTTTGCCAGATAGTATTGTTCAAAAGAGGCATAAATAGGAAATCTCTTTCCTAATCTCCCTTGGGAGACATTCTTACAAAGCTAGCTTATTGTCTCTTATAAAATAGTCTCGGGGCGCCTGGGTGGCTCAGTCGGTTGAGCGTCCGACTTTAGCTCAGGTCATGATCTCATGGCTCGTGGGTTCGAGCCCCACATCGGGCTCTGTGCTGATAGCTCAGAGCCTAGAACCTGTTTAAGATTCTGTGTCTCCCTCTCTTTCTGACCCTCCCCTGCTCACACTGTTTCTCTGTCTCAGAAATAAATAAAATGTTAAAAAAAATTTTTAACTAATAAATAAAATAGTCTCAATTTGTGCAATTAGGTAAAGAAATAAGAGCATTATTTACCCTCTCCTGTCTGCCTTTGCTAAAATGGGGCTTACTACGTTCTTCCCAAGTGGAGCTTCTTTATTTCCAGAATTTTCCCTCACATGCTCCTCCAACTCCTACTTCCTGAATAAATGTGTTCTGAATGGCATGATACTCTGAGATCTCCAGCATGACTCTTTATGTGATGTATCTCACGTCTTTATCCTGGTCACTTTGTATCTATATATAATCCTATTTGGTTAAAGTCCCTCTTAAAATATGATGGCCAGGGCACCTGGGTGGCTCAGTTGGTTAAACATCTGACTCTTGATTTCGGCTGGGGTCGTGATCTCATAGTTGTGAGAATGAGCCCCGCATCAGGCTCTGTGCTGACAGCACATTTTCTCCCTCTCTCTCTCTCTGCCCTTCCCCCCATTCGCCCTCTCAAAATAATAAACATTTTTTAAAAAATAAATAAAATAGGATGACCAGAATTCAGTATAGTACTTCAAAAGTAGCCTCCCATGGGGACTTGGCTTATAGCTGTATGAGCACTTTTCTTCTGCAAGGAGGCTAAATCCAGATTCACTGTTTGTAGGTAGGCTTGTTATTTTTTGTTGGTTGTTTCAGGTTCCTTCCTTAGCACTATAGCATAGGGGTTGGAGTCAGATAGGATTGACATCAAATTTTCTTTCTACCTTTTACAATTGTATGACCCTGGGCAAGTTTTTTTGGTTTGGTTTTGGTTTTGTTTTGTTTTGTTTTGTTTTGTTTTGTTTTTCCTGAGCTTTGATTTCTGTATCTCTACAATTAGACGAATACTACCAACCTCATACAATTGTTAGGGATGGAATGAGATCTAACACACCCCACACTGAACCTGCAGCATGCTTACTGCTCAATACATTGTAGCCTTGGAGCTGATGACAAGGAAACCTTTTTCCTTCCTTGATAAGTTACCTAGATCAAGGTCAAGGGAAAGCCAGAGGCGCTAGTGCTTGTTTATGATCTTTGGCAAAGATCTCATAAATCTCCAAAGCATGTGGCCTCGTTAAGAGCACAGTGACGTGGGCAGTGACACTCCAGGGGCCTGGAGGAGGGGCTTTTTCTTCTATATCCTGTGCTGCCTGACGTTATCACCAGCAGTAAAATGCATAGAAGGCAATCGGCCAGATTTACACTTAGCACAAATCTGGGAGACAAGAGCTAACGCCTTAGTTTTCAGACACCAGACTTAGAGATTTTAGCTAGTTAATCAGATCAGTGCTAATAAAAGGACATTGAACAGGGGTGTGAAGGTAAATGAAGGCCACCCAAGTGGAAATAAGCAGAAGCTGTTTATTCAGTCGGCTACAGCCGAGGAGTCAGCCACTGCCATGCGGCTTTGACAGAGACCTAAAGGCAGGCAGAGGGGAGGCTTCAGGTGCACCCCACTGGAGGGCTCAGGGTGAACTAGAAGGGTGAACTAGAAGGGGGTGTACTATGTGATTGGTTAGGGAGGCATATGTGGCTTCCTCCAGTTTGATCCTACATTGAGAGCAGGGGAAAAATGAGGACAATTGGAGAATTATTCATCAACAAGCTCTCCTGTTAATTCCCCACTCTCACCATCTGCCTCCCCACTGACAGTGTTTAGAATCCCAGATCGGTGTATAGGAGCCTGTTCTGAGGACCAGAAGGGGGTCCCCTGACTGAGGGTTAATACATGAAATCTTAGCACCTCTTCAGTGCCTGGAACATCCTAGGTGCTTATTATTGTTTTATCCAATGGATGCATGAATTACCAAATGAGAACGTGTTCAGTAACTGCGTGAGGCTTAAAGCCACTTTGCAGAACTAGAATCAAAGATGGAATTCCAGGGAAAGGGCTTACATCGGCGTGAGCAAGAAGCTTCTAACACTGGAGCTTTCCAGCAATGGGCAGGCCAACCCCGTGAGAGAGTTAGCTCCCTGTTGCGGGCAGGGGCTACATGGTAACCTCCCTGGGATTCAGTAGAGGGAATGTTCTGGAGACCGAAAATGGTGCAGTATTACAGGAGCATGTGTTTAAAGGCAGGAAGAGATGATAAGAGCTGACATGAGCTGAGTAAGTGGGAGCCAATATCATCATCATCGTCATCATCAGTACTTCACACGTGGTACCTCTCCTTCCCCATTTGATTTCGGGTCCTCGGTGTGTGCATCCCCCAGGGCCTGGCCTCTCACTCACTCTGGACAGAGCAGTGTCCTTCCCCAAAAGCTGGTCCACACCAATTTGGGAACATTTCTGATGTTGCCCTTGTTTGGGTGAAAATAC